CGACTAATTTTTGCATTTTTGTAGAGTTGAGGTTTTACTATATTGCCCAGGCTGGTCTTGAACTTAAGCAATCTGTCACCCTTGGCCTCCCACAGTACCAAGATTACAGCATGATTTCCATTTTGCAGTTAAAGGAGTTGGGGCTCAGAGAAGTTTAGCAATATGCCTTCAGTCACACAGCTTGCAGATGCTGGATTTTAATCTTATTCCCCTTCATATCCTAGTACCTATGCCATGTTTGAATGAGTGAGTGAATCTCAGATTCTCAGTGATGGCCTGAACTCTGGAGGTCAGTCTCATAAGTCAGTCACCTGACAACATCCAGAGTCCTCCCTGGAGGTCTCCGGGATGGGCTGCCTCCCGTCGGGGAGCAGAGGTGGGTGGAGGGTGAGCTGTGTGTAAGTGGTGGTGAGTGGAGGCCGGGTAGCTGTTCCTTATCCTCAGGGAGACAGTACGGGATACAGGAAGGCATGTTCCGCCCGATCTAAACCTGCACGTAATCAGTGTCAGATAATGGTTAAGTTACTAATTTCAGGTGCCTCGTGCAGAGGCCGGGCTAACATCGCTATGTTTCAGTCCTTTAATTCTGTCAGAGGCTCCCTTTCCTTAGGAAGTTCTTCTAAGGTTCCCCTCCAGGGGCCTGTGTGAAACTGCAGATCAGAGAATGCCGTTCCTCTCCTTGAACAGTCTTTGGAGCGAGCCCCGACTCTCTGACAAAGCATTCTGGGTCCCCCGATGGCCCTCATCCCGCTTCCCGGGCCTGGGTCCTCTCGCCAGACCCCAGGCTCACAGGCACATTTCCTCCATGCCTTTCCTCAGCCTGGAACGCCTCTCCTACTCCTACCCGTTAACATCCCATTTCCCACCCGTTTAGATCCCGCTCCCTGGCCAGACAGCATGGAGGGTCTCCCTAAGTGGCCGTCTGTGCAGGAGGGTTACTTCATCCTGCCTGGCGTGACAGTGACTGTCCACCCTCCCTGCCTGGCATTACGGAGAGCATTTGCTTAGGAGTGTGGGCTCACGGGTGGGAGCTGGAGGTCAAAGGCAACATTTAGTTTGAGCCTCTTATTCTATAGGCACATCTGTTTCCTCCGCATGAGAGGCACCTCTGTCACCTGGGTCTGTCTTACAGGAATGGAGGCCTGGCCTGTCATGACTTTAAAGACAGTGTGGGCGTATGGACATGCGAGTGTGTGTGTGTGTGTATGTGTGTGTGTGTGTGGGGGGGGCAGGGGTGTTGCTTTTCCCCAGGGAAGGAGAAGGAAGATTCACACCTGAGATTATGGAGCAATTACCATATGCCGGCAATAGAACTATTATTGCTGACATTACTTTATTTATTCCTAACGAACCCCTTCTTAGTATGTTTTTTTCTGATGAAGAAACTGAAGCTCAGAGGAATTAAATCAGCTTCCCAAGTTTATGCAAGAGGGTCCGGGGCAGGATTCTAGCCCCGCTGTGTCTGAGCCCACAGCCAGCGTTCTAGGAGTTCTGAGTTGGGCACTTGTGTGCATACTGGCTCGTGGGGTGTGACATGGGAGGGGGACCTAGATCTGAGGCCTCTCTTCGGAGAGTGTGTCAGTGGGGACCATGATCTGACTCTGGAATGAGGGTTTGGAAATGCTGCCACCTTTCCCCTCAGCCGGGATCACCCCTCCTTCCTTTCTCTGTCACCTTTGTGTGTTCCCACCAGCTCTGTCTGAGGAGGTGAGAATTCTGGCTGGAGACCTCTCAGAGGTCCCTGAAAGCAGACGGGTGGTGTCATGGCAGCAAGAGAAGCTGGGGGAGCGGCAGCCCCGGGGCTGTGCTGGGTGGGATGAGTCTCTTCTCACCTCCTTGGGAGCAGGGTGGACGTGGAGCTGGGCACTCCCTGTGGACTGTGCGAGGCCCCGGGCGGTTGGGATTTTGTGCTTGGGGCTGACCTTCTTTACTGCACCAGACTTAGTCAGCTTTCGTTTGCTTTCCACTTGAAACTTGAGTCCCCTCTGTCACCTCTCTGCATTCCTGTGGTGTGGTCACCATGGAACCTCTATAGCCATAGCGATAATGGAAGGACGGGACAACGGTCACTTATCTTGGGCCACTCCATTCCCTGGGCTGGGAAATGGAGGCTGAGAGGGGAGGAGCCAGCCAGGTGGAGCAATTCAGAGCATCAGGAGGTGAGGACAAGATGTCCCCAGAATCCACTGGCTCATTTAGCCCTTTGGGTCAGGCCTGGCTGCTCTAACAGAAGAGGAATGCCTCAGTGTCCAGCGCAGTGCTGGGTGTGATGGGGCCTCGGTGAATTGTGCCTTGGGGATCAGGGGCTCAATGGTGTCTGTGCTCTGTCCAGGAAGTCTGCTGGACTTCCTGGTTCTGACTTTTATAGTTTGGATATAGATCACTCAGTTCCCACAGGCCCCTGGGCCAAAGTGATTTCCTGGGGTGGTGCCTCTCACTGCACCCACATAAGTCAGGCTGTTTGTCCGTTAGTAGCTTTGGCCCCTCCTCTTGGGCAGGCACCTAGGAGAGTCTGCACTGTAGACCCTGGAATCTGAAGGGTCGAAGGTGTAGACCCTGAGAGGGTCTCAAAGGGGCTCTGCTGGAGGGGATGCCTTGGCAAGCCGTGGACTGGCTCCAGGTTTCCTCGCCATGCTGCTGGTATCTGGGGACTGGGGGAAGCTGGGCTGCCTTGGCCTGTTGACCTCTGGCCACTGAGGAGGCTACGGTGGGATACTGTCTTGTTCAGAAGGCCCATTGCAGTAGGGGTGGCTGTTGAAACTTAAGCATCCTGTACCTTCAGGCAGCTCAAGTCTTTAGTCTCCAAGAGAGTGATCGCTTTGGGGAAACTGAGGCAGCAATGACCACTCTGACAGCCTAGGGTAAGAAATAGGGCTGAGATCTTATTATAAAGTGAATCTGAACTACTGGCCAGTGGTTTTCAATCCTGTTTGAACATCAAAATCAGAAGTTAAGGCCAGGCATAGTGGCTTAACACCTGTAATTCTGGCACTTTGGGAGGCTGAGGTGGGCAGATCACTTGAGGTCAGGAGTTTCAGACCAGCCTGGCCAACATGGTGAAACCCCGTCTCTGCTAAAAACACAAAAATTGGCTGGGCATGGCGATACACATGCCTATAATCTCAGCTACTTGGGAGGCTGAGGCAGGTGAATGACTTAAACCCGGGAAACGGAGGTTGCAGTGAGCCGAGATGACACCACTGCATTCCAGCCTGGGTGATAATGACA